AAAAAATGGGCCAAAGACTTTAACAGACACCTCACCAAAGAAAATGTTCAATGGCAAATAAGTATATGAAAACATACACTCCACAGCATATGTCATCAGGGAAATTCAAATTAAAACAACAATGAGATACCACTACCAGAACTACCAAAATTTCTAGCACTGACAACACAAAATGCTGGGGAGGATGTGGAACAACAAGAACTCTCATTCATTGCTGGTGGGAATGCAAAATGGTACAGCTACTTTGGAAGATATTTTGGTGGTTTATTACAAAACTAAACTTACTTTACTATATGATCCAGGAATCATGTCCCTTGGTATTTACCCAAGGGAGTTGAAAATTATGTTCACACAAAAGCTTACACACAATACTCATAGCAACTTTATTCATAATTGCCAAAACTTGGAAACAACTGAGATATACTTCAGTAGATGACTAGATGAATAAACCATGGTATGTCCAGACAATGGAATATTATTTGATACTAAAAAGAAATGAGCCATCAAGTTATGAAAAGACATGGAGGAAACTTAAATGCATATTATTAAGTGAAGAAGCCAATCTGAAAGGTCACATATTGTAAGATTCTAGCTATTTGACATTCTGGAAAGAGTAAAACTATGGAGACAGCATAAAGATCAGTGGTGGCCAGGGAGTGGTGGGGAGAATAAATATTTGGGGATAGGACTTTTAGGGCAGTGAAAATTTTCTTCATGATATTATAGTGATGGATACATGCCATTGTACAATTGTTCAACCCCACAGAATGTACAACACCAAGTTAACCCTAATGTAAACTATGGACTTAGGTGATTATAATGTATCAATGTAAGTTTATCCTGTTGTTACAATACACTGTTTTGGTGAGAAATGTTGATCATGGGGGAAGCTATGCATATGTTGGTGCAGGAGGCATATGGGAAATCACTGTGCCTTTCTTTTAGTTTTGTTGTGAACCTTAACCTGCTCTAAAAAATTAAGTCTTAATTTAAAAAATCCCTTTGGCTGTTCAATGCAGAACTGACTCTAGGTAAGTAAGAGTGAGAAAGAGAGACCATTTACAGTGATCCAGGTGAAAAAGGGAAGTGGCTTGAACTAGGTTGGCAGTAACAGAGATGAAGAAAACTGGGCAGATTTGTGAAATATTTAGGAAATAAAACCAACAGAAGTTGGGAGAATGTCCACCATTTTCCAAAGGTCTGTTCATCCTGGCTTTCCAAAGCAAGGACCTAAGAAAAATTACATTAATACAACTCCCTTGAAATTGCAGAGGAAGCCAGTGACAAAAACTTTACCCTCACTTCAGATGTCCTGGGAGAACACCACTGATGCTAATTTTGTTGCTAAGAAACTACAAAGAAAAAGGAGAAGGAGAAGAAGAAAAAGAAGAAGGAAAAAAGATGGCACAGGCACATAATTTATGTAATATTCAACAGTGTCTCTTGATCTTTTTTAAAGCCCTGGAAAGAAAATAAGATGAGAAGGGAGATGAGAGTTTAAAATTCAGAGTAAAGTGGATGCCCTATTATGTTCACAGTAATTAGCCTTTCCTGACAATGATATAAATGTTGATAGCACCCCTTTTAAAAATAAAACACAATATGATTCTTTAGATTTGTAGAGTGCTCTCCTGTTTACTAAGTTGTTCCATCACCTTCTCTAACTACTACTTCAGTCTTCTAAGGTAGGAATTATTGGCCATACTTTTCTGATGAAAAAACTCTGAAGACCATTTTGGCATTGTAGAAAAAGCATGAACTTTGGAATCCTTCAGACCTGGGTTTAAATGTCTGTCAGCCTGCCATTTATTTAATGGGGAACTTCAGAGAATTATTTCAAAACTCAATTTTTAAGGCTTCTTTACCTTTATCCAAGGAGTCATTTCACTACCATTAGCATCCCCTCCATGTACTCACCCTCTATTGAGTGTAAATAAGAAAACTCAAGTCAGTCACAGCACTCTAAATTGTCTCTGTCAGAAAGATCATCTACTCCAGCCTCTACCTTCTCCTCTCCCCATTTCACAGGGCAAGAAATTGAAGCTGAGGAATTGGAAGAGATCCATTATCAGTCTGTAGACAGTTCTCCTGTCTCTGAGACCTATGTTATTTTCGTTCTACTTTCTCACCAGCCCAGCTGACTCAATTCTCTTTGAGCAACCCTAGTTAAAAGCTTTGGTGGAACTAGAGGTTGTGATGACTATTCAAATAAAGTTTTCAAAGTATCTGTGCATTTCAGTTACATACTCCTGTTTCCTATTATAATGGGGAATTGAAAATTAGCCTTGTTACAATTTGACCTGTCTAAGAATAAGACTATTTCTTTACCATAAGGGGTGATTTGTGAGATTCCTCACTAAAAATGGCAGACAGGGGTATATTTGGGATATATGCAGGCAAGGCTGAAGTCATTAAAATACCAAGGGATAATTTTCACCACTTCAGGTACAAAAGCCTTTGCATTTTGGAAGATTCATTTATAGCTCTTGTCCAAATGCCCTTGACATTGATTAATCTAGCTAAAATAGCAATGAGATGGAAGACTAGTTTGCATTCTACTAATGTGGAACATAGAAAAAATGTCACTGTTTCAATGCCTTCATCTGGAAAATAGAGCTGATCATACCCATTCTTCCCTGCCTTTAGGATTAAGTTACCTCCTTTGGTCAGAGTAAGTAAATGCCCATGCTTGGCTGTAAACGATGTTAAATCTCTGTAGAAGCCTGTAAATAGTAGAAGAGATCCACACAAAAATCTACACCAGCATTCTGGGAGAGAAAGACCCTGCCCAAAACTAGAGGTGTAAGAAATTTAAAGGCTAGGGAGGCCAAGGGCCCCTGCTGACACAAAGGGAAACCTCCTTTCCCACAGGTCTACCCTGCGACTTCTACTCTTCCATCCCCAATCTGCCTGTCCATCTTTACAGAAAGACTATGGTCCCTCCTCCAAAAAGGGGCAATTGCAATATCCCACTTCAACCCCCAGTCCTGGTGGTCCACCAAGAGGAAGGAAAGCAGTCCTATGTAGTTTCCATTACTTGAATAGTGCAGTTTCCAAGCTTAAGATATGCAAGGCAACTTGGAAAAGTAAGTGCCTGTATATAAGCAAAGGGTTGCAAACCCCTGGACAAAATCAAGGTCCCTGTGCACATGACCAGGGTTTTTGGTGTTTGTTTGCTTATCTGGGTGATTTTGCCTTTGCACATCTGGATAGATGAGAAGTGTATGTTTAGATGCAATTTGACAGGAAAACGAGAAGAAAAGAGGATAGAAATGACCTCTGGTTATTAGGCAGAGGGTTCCTAGAGCAACTGGCATCTGCCACAAGGCCCAATCTACCCCTACAGAGAAATTTGGAAGGTTTCAGCAAGTATCAGCTGCCTTGGCCATAGCTTCTTCCTCACTTTGTAGGAGACCCTCCCATCTGTGCTTCTGTCTGCCTTGAACATATAGTCCCTCTCCTGAGACACTGGTACTCCTATCGCCCCTACCTACTCCCTTTCCCCTCACACACAGAGTCTGTTTTGAGATTGGACTTCGGAACCAAATCTGTAAGTGTTGGCCTTCAGGAGCTCCTCTTAGCCCTGTCTTCAAAATAAAGCTCCTGGTTAAAGCTTCAGCTCTGGCACCTAAAACCTGGTCCCTGCAAGTAAGAGGTATTCGGGGAGCTAGGGCCCTCCTGGGCTACAGAAATCCACTCCTGCCTTCACCCACGCTGCGCCAGCACTCATTTCTCCAAAGCCACTCGGCGTAAGCGCGCAGTGAGGGGAGGAGAGAAAAGGAAAGGGGAGGGGAGGGAGAAAGGAGGTGGGAAGGCAAGAAGGCCGGCCCGGCGGGGGCGGGACCGACTAGCAAACTGTTGCATTTGCTCTCCACCTCCCAGCGCCCCTTCCGAGATCCCAGTGAGCTAGCGTGCCGGGAGAGCTGGAGGGTCCGGAGCAAACGCAGAGGCAGAAGAGGCAACAGAGGAAAAGCGACCTAGATAACCACTCCAGTGCGGGACAGGCGCTTAAGGGACGTACGGCGTCAACCCCAGTTGGGCTTCAGCTACAGCGAACGCTTCTTGCAGTGTGGCGGCTTGAAACCTCTGCCCCAGAGCTGCCCTTTCCTCTTCGGTGAAGTTTTTAAAAACAGCTAGAGACTCGGAGGAAGCGAGGAAAGTGCCGGGTAGGACTGAGGGCTGCCTTTGTCCTCCTCCCCTTCCCCCCCCCCCCCTCCTCTTCTGTTGCTGCCTCGGCCCGCTCCTGTCTGCCCGTCCCCCTACCCACCCCCCGCCCCCAGTCGGCCCAGCGCGGCCAGCCGGAGTTTGCAGAGAGGTAACTCCCTTTGGCTGCGAACAGGCGAGCTAGCTGCACGTTGCAAAGAGGGCTTTGGGGAGCCGGGCAACCAGTGAGCCGCTTCAGCACTGCAGCTGGGACCCGGCTAGTTAGGCGGTACGCGGGGCGGGCCCCCAGGTTCCTCTCATTTCCTTTCCACCTCCTACTGCACGCAGCAGCCGGCCCTGTTTGCAGGACCATAGACCAAACAATGAAAGGCCGGAGGGCAGTGGGGGCTTCAGTAGACGATTGAAAACGAAAACAAAAACAACCAAACCAAACCAAACAAACCCTCAAACCCAAAATAAAGCATAAAGAGAATAACCCGGTTCCTACTTGCACCTGCTTCAGTGGACACTGAATTTGGAAGGCAGAGGGTTTTTCTTGTTTTTGTTTTGTTTCCTTTGAGACTTGGGCATCTCTTGACTCTACCCTCCCAAGATTTCAGGAGCAGGCTGTGAGCCTAGCAGGGCAGATCGTGTCCAGTGCTTGTTTTCCTGTACAGGAGACCTCAAGTCTGTCAGAGTGCTTTTGCGTGGTTATTCCTGCAAGTTTCTTTCCCAGGAGCTTCCCGCAGGTGGGCAATTAGCTGCAGGGACTACCGCATCGCAGCCTGTTGAACTCCTAGCTAGAGAAGGGGAAACGGGATAAAGGAATTAGGTGGAAGAGTCAGCCAAGCTCAAGGATGGAGGTTCAGTTAGGGCTAGGGAGGGTCTATCCCCGGCCGCCATCCAAGACCTATCGAGGAGCTTTCCAGAACCTGTTCCAGAGCGTGCGCGAAGTGATCCAGAACCCGGGCCCACGGCACCCTGAGGCCGCGAGCGCAGCACCTCCCGGCGCCCGTTTGCAGCAGCAGCAGCAGCAGCAGCAGGAGACCAGTTCTGGGCAGCAGCAGCAGCAACAACAGCAGCAGGGTGACGATGGCTCTCCCCAAGCCCAGAGAAGAGGCCCCACAGGTTACCTGGCCCTGGACGAGGAACAGCAGCCTTCCCAACAACAGTCAGCCCCCAAGGGCCATCCGGAGAGCGGCTGCGTTCCAGAGCCTGGAGCTGCTTCAGCCACCGGCAAGGGGCTGCAACAGCAGCAGCCAGCACCACCGGACGAGGATGACTCAGCTGCCCCATCCACGTTGTCCCTGCTGGGCCCCACTTTCCCGGGCTTAAGTAGCTGTTCCACCGATCTTAAAGACATCCTGAGCGAGGCCGGCACCATGCAACTCCTGCAGCAGCAGCAGGAGGTAGTATCCGAAGGTAGCAGCAGCGGGAGAGCGAGGGAGGCCGCTGGTGCTCCCACCTCCTCCAAGGACAGTTACCTAGGGGGCAGTTCGACCATCTCGGACAGCGCCAAGGAGTTGTGTAAGGCAGTGTCGGTGTCCATGGGCTTGGGTGTGGAGACATTAGAGCATCTGAGTCCTGGGGAACAGCTTCGGGGGGATTGCATGTATGCCCCAATCCTGGGAGGTCCGCCCGCGGTACGTCCCTGCGCCCCGCTGGCCGAATGCAAAGGTTCTCTGCTGGATGACGGCGCAAGCAAGGGCACGGAAGAAACTGCTGAGTATTCTCCTTTCAAGGCAGGTTATGCCAAAGGGTTGGATGGCGACAGCCTGGGTTGTTCGGGCACGAGCGAAGCCGGGGGCTCCGGAACACTTGAGCTGCCATCCACCCTTTCTCTCTACAAGTCGGGAGCACTAGATGAAGCGGCGGCTTATCAGAATCGCGACTACTACAACTTTCCGCTCGCGCTAGCCGGGCCTCCGCCCCCTCCGCTCCCTCCGCTCCCTCCCCATCCTCACGCCCGCATCAAGCTGGAAAACCCGCTGGACTACGGTAGCGCCTGGGCGGCTGCTGCGGCACAATGCCGTTACGGAGATCTGTCGAGCCTGCATGGTGGGGGTGCAGCGGGACCCAGCTCAGGATCACCCTCCGCCACCGCCTCCTCTTCCTGGCACACTCTCTTCACAGCCGAAGAAGGCCAGCTGTATGGGCCCTGCGGCGGGAGCGGAGGCGGCAGCGCTGGCGAGGCAGGGTCTGTAGCCCCCTATGGCTACACTCGGCCACCTCAGGGGTTGGCAGGCCAGGAAGGTGACTTCCCGCCACCTGATGTGTGGTATCCCGGCGGTGTGGTGAACAGAGTTCCCTATCCAAGTCCCAGCTGTGTCAAAAGCGAGATGGGCCCCTGGATGGAGAGTTACTCTGGACCCTATGGGGACATGCGGTAAGTTTCTCCTCCTAGACATGTCATTGAATGTAGTTAGTTGGCTTCTGGGCTATCTCTCCTCTCCTATGTATGGGAACACTCTACCCCTGTGAGAGTTCAACAGTGTTCCATAAAAAAAAAAAAGGCCATCCTGAATCTGGAGCCTTCTGGGTATTCCTAGCCTGTCAAAGATAAGACCACTGTGCTCAGAACCCCCACTGTGTGCCCCAGTCCCCACCACTGAGGCTCCTGGGTGCTGGTGTGTGCCCTTCCAGATACCATAAGGACACCTCCCTTACCTCTAGCCCCTTAAAATCCTCAGTACCTCATGGTGCTCCATGTCCCAAAGGCTCCAAACTTAAATCCAATAGTAAGAGCCACCTTCAGAAATAAAGCTCTTAAGCCCTCCGTAATTTTTCTTCTCCCTCTTCCCAAATCTGAAGACCTGGACAGGAAATATGGGCAGTTTCATCTCTTAGAGTGTGTTAGGGTTTGCCCTCCAGCCTGTGGCCATCTTGGCAGGTTAAAGGCAAAAAGATCGGCCCAAATTTTTCTCAGTCCGCCTCCTCCAAAGAGATAAAATGGAGGTGCCGGATTAAGGCAAGAAGGTCTGAGTTCTCTGGGCTCTGAGGGCCACTGCATGAAGACAAGGTGAAGTTCATTCCCTGGCAACAATTGAGTACTTGCCCCAGGGTTGGAGTGGGCAGAGAGAATCTAACCCGGCAGGAGAGCAAGCAAAGGTAGAGGAAAAGGAGAGGACAATTTTGTAGGTAAACACCGGGCAGTATTTACTCTTACAGGTTGACCATGTTGGAAGTAGCTGCTTGAGTCGGTTTTCTCTTGTAAAGTGTTTATTTTCTCTATGGAGTACAGCAGATCCACAGTCCCCTACTTTAAGTTTGCATCAGGCCCATAGAAGAGAAGAATGTTTTTTTTTTTTTTAATGAATAATTTAGCCGGGTTTGAATCTGACTTATAAAGTGTTGGAAAATTTACTTAAGAGTTTTCTGCTAGTCCAGTGTGCTCAGAAATTGCTTTTAGGAGGGAGGAGTGAGGCTCTCCCATATATTCCTTCATTTTTAAGAATATGCTTGCGTTTTTAATTGAAGTGAAGTTGTCCTACAGTGTTATATTAGACGTGCTTGTATTTTGAAACATGAGCTGCTACCTCTAACAAACTTAGTAAGAACTGTTAGGGACCTAAAGCCATAATTTTGCCCATGAGTTTTAATTAGGATATGAGAAAAGTGGTGATCAGTTTCACCTTGCTTATTAAAAATTCTTCCCACATTTGTTGAGCTTATTGGAGATCATGTTGAAGATTCTCTCCCCAACCTCAACAAAGATATTAGTCTATCTCAGTAAGAGAGGGAATACTAACCAAGGAACTAACTCCTCAGGTGTGCTGGGTACTTATGTGCCCTTGGAGTTGTGTCTTGTTATGTTTTGTTTTAGCTGTTTTGTTTTATCTGTGACTTTTTCAAAATGTCTTTGTTGGCCTTCACATCTTTGGCGACTTAAATCCAACAATTTGCCTCCTTTCACTGATGCTTTTGTTCCTGGAAGGTTGACGGAACAGTGTTAGGACAGAAAGAGGAGGATAGGATTTCATAAAATATTTTTAGGGTTATTGAAGAAACAGCTTCTTACCAGTCTTTACATCCTAGTATTAGATTTTAAGTGTTTAGTTTACAGGATTTTCAAAGGTCATCAAAATGTTTTCCAGTTAGTATTTTTTGAAATATTTTTGCAATGTGGTTATACTGTGGAATAAAAGGTTTTCTTCATTTTATAAGAACAGATTTACTTGGTAGGGTCAATTTTTTTTCCCCTAGGGTTGTTGCTAGTCAGTTCTACGATGAACTTTTTTGAGGGATGGGGACGTCTCAGGTGCTTCTTGACATAACCATGATGCTAAACTGAAACCTTCTTTCTTCTGCACACCTTCCCTAACAATTAACTCATTAATAGGGAGGGAATGAACAATTTCAAATCTTTGTTAAGGGATGTGTTTCTTTGAAAATATAACCTGAGATTTATAGGAAGTAGCTATAGAAAGTAAAAAGTTCTTCCCATTAGGTGTGCAGTAAGCTAGGTTATTTTATCCCATGTCTTAGTGGGACATTTTCTCTGTTAGAAAGACCTGCTTAAATTAATGACCTTAAATAGAATTTAGCAGTACCCAAAGAAAGTAAAAGATAATGAATCTTTCCCGGTTTGTGGTTGCAGCACTGGCTATGAGTCTGGTGAAAGGGAAAACTGGCATTCCTGTCTTGTGGGTTGAAGGAGAATTTTCATTTCTAGGATATAGAAAATTGTTGAGTCAGTTTGTTGAAAATTTTCAATTTTATCAGAATGCAACCAACCCCAGTCTAAAAGTTGACATTTTCTTACTTTATCTTTCTTTCCCTCACTTTGTTGGGGCACAGTTTGGTGAAAAGCAAGGGATTTTTAAAGCCAAAGCAAGAACTTCCACCGTGTCTATATTGCACGCATTGTGTGCTAAATTCGAGTTAAAAGATCTAAAAATTCTAGAGGCTTCAAATAATGTCGGATTCCTCCCTTTCCCAATTGTGTGTGTTCATACATATTAGTTAATTGGAGGAGGGGGTTAACTTTAGTTACTTTTGGAATAACTCTATGTTCTTCTACATCTACAATGTTTCTGCTCGAAGGAGAGAGGCGGGAGGAGAGAATCTGAAGGTGGTCCTTTAAAACAAAACAAAACAGAAACAAACAACAACAACTTAATTTAGCATGTGGTTTGAACAGAAAGAATAATAAAAATTGATGGGGCTTGTGTACAACCCTGATGATATTTAATGGAGCTGTCTTCTTTCAGAGATCAAACAGGACTACAACTTTGTTAATTGACCACCTGCCCACTTGACAGAAGTAAAACCTTTTATATTTCAGCAAGCAGCACAATAATATGGAAAATACTCTTGGGAGTTGAGCCCTAAGGAAGACAGTGCCAGAATAAAAGTTGGGATTTAGATTAATTATCTGGATGCAAAAAGAACATTTTAATTTTTCTCTTGGTAATTTGTTCTGATCTTTATATAATAGGTAGTATTTTTGTAGTGCTTTGAGATCAGCAAATCCTGCTTTTTTCCCTCTTAGTTATTTAAGAAGAAGACATTTTATTAATCCCCTTTCCATCTCCTCTCCCTTCTTCAGTTATCAGGTAAGTTTTATGACTTTTGCAAGGAGCAGTTTATTTTCTAATGCAGAATTTTGCTTTGGAACGAAGATAGTCTGACGCTTTCTGTCCATAGTCCTTGAGAGTCAGTATGTTGTAAAGAAGCATCCTTTCTTCATCGTCAGCAAATAACTAGTGAGTTATGTTTGGGTACCAGTGATCAGAACCAGAGGACCAAGTAGCCACACTGGGTAGTATCCCATTTAGAAATATGTGCAAGATGTACTGATGGAAGTCTCCTCTTTGTTGTCCACAGAGTATCTCTTTTAGCTCGGCCAAAGGTTAACATCAGTAAAAGATGTTTTCCAAGAAGCTTGTAGCCTTCCAATTGCGGGGTCACTTTGGGGCACTTTCTTGCCAGTGCTAATTTTACCTCATCAGACTTTCATTCTCTGTGTTGTAAACTTAGATATATCAATATAATATATTGAATTTGTGGGCACATTAAATTTTCTTTTTTAAGTGTCTTTTTTCCCTGTAATAATTTTCTCCCTTGGTGTGCATATACACATTTAAAACAATGAAGCCTTAGGATTCCGACTCTTATTTGTACTCTGACTGCTCTTGGTGGGATTATGAGTTGCAGTTAGGGACCTAGACAATTTTATTTTATTTTTCCATGGTGGTATCAAGACCATCATTTTCATTTGGAAGTCTGCTCAAACAGGGAACAGAATGCAGCCTAGGTGTGGTAAGCAAGGGACTTATTTTATAATCAAACCTGAAATCATGATTCTGAAAAATGAAAAGCAAACAAAAATCAAGTTTTGTGAGGTTGGTTAGAGAGGGAAAAGGAAACCTCTCCCCACCCCCTACCTCCACCATTTTCTCTTTGTCTCCAGCTTCCTCAAGTGCTGCCTGTCCCAGATTTTCTTTCATTTCTCTTCTTTCGTGCTTTTAACTAAATGGAAACATAGATACTTCTTTCTACTTTTCAGGATATTTTCCTCATTACACCTGTGGCATGCCCCTAAAGTTTTTTGTTTCTGTTTTTTTTTTTTTTAAACATCTGGAGAGTAACAGATCAGATCAATCCCAGCACCTTTCTTATAAGGCTAAATGACTTGAGGGGAGTGCAAAATTAATAGCTGGGCTTTTTAAGCTTCAGATTAGAGCCTGATTCAAGAGTTCCTGAGGAAGCTAAACTAGATGGCTTGAGGACCTGGTGGTATAATGAAGTATTTTGCCAGCTGCTGTCTCTCTCTTTTAATCTGTCTCTGCTTACTTGCCATTTTGGCAACCTTTTCTCAAAGCCTGAAAATAACCGGACCCTCACTGAGACTGTGCTGGGTCAGACCTCCACCACACTTTCCCAAGCAACACTTAAATCTATGTGTGAGGATGCTTGTTAGAAGTGACTGGCTGGGCCAATAAATATGCTGATGATATGTAAAGTAATCATTTGAAAACAAAGAAAGATATTGAATAAACTATTCTACCTCAGAATTCCCCTACCAGCTTTCCATCAAGTTCTGAAATGTTGAATTCAGAGTTAAGTTATCCTCATCTTTTTTTTTAAAGATTTTATTTATTTATTTAACAGAGGTCACAAGTAGGCAGAGAGGCAGGCAGAGAGAGAGAGAGAGAGAGAGAGAGAGAGAGAGGAGGAAGCAGGCTCCCTGCTGAGCAGAGAGCCCGATGTGGGCTCCCTCCCAGGGCCCTGGGATTATGACCTGAACAGAAGGCAGAGGCTTTAACCCACTGAGCCACCCAGGAGCCCCAAGTTATCCTCATCTTAAACACAAAGCTGATTTTTTTTCCATTCCTTGTAATGTTCTCTACAGTTACCAGTATTTGTTGGCATTTGTCATATTTG